TTCTTCTTTTTCTTCTTCTTCTTCTTTTTTTTTTTTTTTTTTTTTTTCACAATAGGACTAGTGGTGTAGCGGCACGTCCACAGACGAAAACGAACAGTTGCCAACCGCTCCGATCCGTAAATGGCAAACGAAACCGAAGGAGGCTCGTACAGTTTCTCCACGAATTGAAAACGGCTTTTGGGGGAATAAGACCGTCGTCGACGTCGTTGAGCTGGCTGTCTTGAAAAAAGTAGACACAGAGAGAACTCAATGGCCAGGGTAGGGGGTGTAGTATTCGAGAAAAAAAAGGAATTTCTTGGCAATGTGCTATTTGCTGTAAGAAAAAGGGGATTTTGTTGTGCTATTTGCTGTCAGAAAAGGGGATTTACTTGTGCTATTTTGTTGTGAGAAAAGGGGTCGGGGGTCTCTATTGCCTTCTTTATGAAAAACGGACGGCTGGATCTCACTTGGATTACGTGCATCTCTGTGGTGCAGTGTGGCCGCGCCTACAGTCACACGCAGCGTAGAGAACTAAACCATGTAGACCTACTAGCTCATCGGAGCCAGTGGGACATCAGTGGGACATGGTCCGCGGGCAGTGGGACATATGGTCCGCGGGCACTCCCGCCAGGTGCTCATCGGGAGCACGCAAGGTCCCACTTGCAAAGGAGTAAGGTAAACGGTGTCCCACAAACACCTGTGGGACATCTGCGGGACATCGTTCCACCACTGATGCAGGAGAATCGGATGGCAGTGAAATTGCGGCCATGGATTTATATTCTGAAGTGGTGTTTTTTGTTGTTGTCTTTGTGCTTTTTTCTTTTCAGTTCCCAAAGAATGGGAGGGGGGAAAAGAAAATAGAAAGACTCATTTTGATTGGCAGCTCTTCGAAAGATCGAAAAAAAATGCAGTACTCGAAGGGCATGGTTTTGACCGCCTTCTTTTTCCCTGTTAATTGCAACCCCATCGAGTACTTGATTTTTCTTTCTCTCAAAATATACGAACTGCACGCTTCAGCATGGCAACCGTCAGAGAAGGGAGTCCCATCATGCACACGAAGGGACTCCCTCCCTCGCGGTGGTACGCGAGAGACTGCAACAGTCACGTACCACTCTGTCCTGATTAGGCATTGGCTGGGTGGGGAGCAGGGGGAGGAGGGGGAGGAGGGGGAGGAGGGGAAGGAGGGAGAGGAGGGGGAGGAGACAGGAGGAGGGTTAGTGCGATGGCAGCACTTTCAAAAGTCGGACTCCTTCCCATCTTGGGGAATGTGGCGTCACCATTTTTTTTTTTTTTTTAAATTACTTTTCTTCCTTTTCTTACAATGCCACACAGGGGCCAAGTCCCACTAACAGCGTTGAGCTATCTCAACGCCTGAATCTGGACGTGTTTGTGGAGACGTGCAGTTCAAAACTTGAAAACTGAACTCGATCGGCGGGTTACTAATTTGCTAGTTGGATTTATTTTATTTTCCCTTGCTAGTTGGACTTGGCGCCTGGGGAAAAAAAAAAAAAAAAAAAAAAACCCCTCTTCCTTTAGGGAGGAGAGGGGTCCCCTGTCTAAGGCTTAGGAGTAGTGGTAGGTAGGTAGTGAAGGTGAATTAAAAGAATTTGAAAGATGATGAAAAGATTTGAGAGAAGAATATCGCGTAGTTTTAAAAGAAAAAAAAAAGAAAAAAGGGGGACCCCCCCCCCCCCACTACCTTTCTTGTTGCAGAGAACGAAGCCATCTACAATGTACATAAATGAAACAGTGGGGCTCGGAAACATATTCGTTCTGTGTTAATTTAAATTTTAAAGATCATCTTTTATTATTGTTTGTTTGTTTGTTTTTTTTTTTTTTTTTTTTTTTTTTTTTTTTCGAAATCTTTTTTCAATTTTTTTTTTTAATTTTAATTTTAATTTTAATTTTTCGATCATTCTGTCAATTCAGTTGGCCATTGCTTGTTTCTCTTTCTTTCTCTTCTTTTTCTATCGCCCTCCTTACACAACACCCTACATGCATTTTGGGATGCTTTCTTGACCAGGTGCATTCGGAAGAGTCCAGCATTTTGGATGTATTGGATCCAGAAAGCTAGCAAAATGCATGCAGAGCGTTGTGTAGTGCAGTGAGGCCCATTCTCTACTAGGACTTTCTTTTCTTTTCTTTTCTTTTTTTGTTTCCTTTTTTTTTTTTTTTAACTAGCATTTGATCTGGAGTTGCTTACTGTGAGATGCATGTAGGTGGCTCACTGGCTCATACTTGCTGTAATCCCGGTCAGATACATTTAGCAAACTGCTAGTCCGAGTCTCATGCCCTCACTTGTACTCCTTCTCCAAGACTCCAACTGTCTGTCAAGCAACAAGCGGACGATGTTTTTTCCTTTTTTAAAGTTTTTTCCTTTTTCTTTTTTGGGTCCCAACGGAAGGAGGCATCCTCAGCTCACAACCACCGCGCGACCCTCTTTGTGTGTGTGTATGTGTGTGTGTGTGTGTGTGTGTGTGTGTGTGTGAGAGAGAGAGAGAGAGAGAGAGAGAGAGAGAGAGAGAGAGAGAGAGAGAAGGGGGGGGGAGGGGGGAGGAAGGTGGAAAGGACTTGTGTGTGTGTAGAGGCAACGATTTGTTTTTTTGGAGTTTTTCTTCCACTCCCCCCTGCCTCCCCCCTCCTCCCCTCCTCCTCCCCTCCTCCCCTCCTCCTCCTTTCTCTGGGAAGGGGGTTAAAATTCGGCTCCAAGCATTCGAGAATTAAATGCACTTGAGAAGAAATAAATAAAATTGAATGCACATATGTTGGAGCATGGTCGGCAGTCAAGCCCTCGTTGGGTGTGCGTCCTTTCGAATACTAGTAGTTCGATGTCTGCGTGCACATTTAAGAGTCTGAGGCCTGTCTTCAACCAATCAACCAACAAATCAATCCATCAGTCTGTCAATCAATCAATCAATCAATCAATCAATGATATGCGCAGGAAGCAAAGCGTTCTTCGCCTTGGATAAGAATGGGATGCGCCTCATGGAACGCTGGTTGACGCTCAGCGCAAGCAACTCTTCACCCTCCATGCAGTGCGTAGACACGTGGCACACTCTATGCTCGCCAGCTGCACTGCGCACCACGCGCAGCGTCTACTTATACATTACTGTAAGAAGATCCTTCTCTCACATAACGACGCACTGCGGATGCCTACCGGTAGTTAGTACGCATCTCAGCTCGTTCCTATCGATTGATCGACCGAGAGAAAGAGAGAGAGAGACAGAGACAGAGAGAGAGAGAGAGAGAGAGAGAGAGAGAGAGAGAGAGAGAGAGAGAGAGAGAGAGAGAGAGAGAGAGAGAGAGAGGAAGGCAATGGTGAGAAATACAGCTGCGATGATGTCTAAGTGCGCAACAGCGGAGAGAACGGAGCGATCGCGCGACATAGGTGTATAAACACACACACACACACACACACACACACACACGTCCACATTCTGTAAAGCATGGTTCACACACACACACACACACACACACACACACACACACACACACACACACAGACAGATAAACACTTGCAAATGTAGACAAAACGTGCGAGGTTTTACTTTCGCAGTATACACGTAATGTCCATGGCATGCGACCAAGTTGCGATTACCCTTCTACCTCACTGCTCAGGTAATCTTTCCAGCCACTATCCTCAATATATATACCTTTCGTTCCCAGTACTTCCCCGCCACTTTCCCTATCCTTGCAGTGTACTCATCATCTATCCTCAGGATCTCCCGCAGTCGTTCTCTGTGTTGCCTTTGTCGCCGTCGATTTCCAACATACTTTCAATCTGGAGCCGTTTCCATCATATCTAATGATTCTGTGCGTGCTACTCCCGTACTCTATTCTCCGTCGGAGGTCCGTCTCCCTCTGGTACTCGCTTATAACTCCGCTGTTTTTTTATACTAGTAACTTGTTTCTGGCCGTCATTTGTTGTTTTATTCTTCCTTCATGTCCAGGTGAGTACGTTCCTTCCTTGGTCTATTTGTTTCCTGTGCTTTAGGTCTTTGGTTTTCTATCCACTTCGTATGTTGGGAAATGTCTGCAGAAATTCCGTGATATTGTGGAGTACTTTGCCGTGTATGCTTCTTTTTTGTTCTTGAAAATTGTTTTTGTTCCGTTCGGAATTTATATTTTTGATGTGAGCTTTATATTCCAAGTCATGCGAATTTTCTTTGCAAGAAGTCATTTCGGACTTTCAGTTTTATATCCATCGAATGGTGTTTCTTGCTCTTCCAGGTACTCCTGGACGCGTCCCTGCAGTTTCGGATAAATGCAAGTATCGCGATATCCATCAAATGGTGTTTCTTGCTCTTCCAGGTACTCCTGGAATTTATTCCGGACGTCCGCTTCCCTGCAGTTTCGGATAAATGCAAGTATGGTGGAGTGGGTTATCCTCCATGGGTAATCCACGAGTCGGAGTTCCCGTCCCAACATTTCAATCACGGGCGACAGATCCACCTTCTCTTATGTGTTAGCTATCATTCTATGAAATGTTCCGATAATCGTCAAGATCTTGGTTCTCTCGGAACCCGCACTCCTGAAGTGACGCAACATCCTGAGAGAGAGAGAGAGAGAGAGAGAGAGAGAGAGAGAGAGAGAGAGAGAAAGAGAAAGAGAGAGAGAGAGAGAGCAGGTAAGTCTCCGATCTCGCGGCCGGCCTCATGGTACGTCAATAGATACCATGAGCAAAATAGAACGGCAAAATCGAATAAATCTCCTGTTAGATCATGGAAATCCACACCGCCACACTCTTTTTATTTTCTTCTATTTTTTTATGATGGAAATACACACCGCCACACTTTTTTTATTTTCTTCTATTTTTTTATGATGGAAATATACAT